ATATGAGATGCACTCAAAACACACAACATGTTAATACTGAAACCAGCAAATACATGGGTCCATTACCCAACATGGGATAATTATTAGCAAACACATACAACCACATTGTGGACCATAACTCCAAAGCATGTCCCAGGGTATAGCACCGGCGCCTCTAACAACTGACGACTACCGTCGCGGTCGACACGTGGCGAGCGTCTGGGGTCCAGCCCCGCGATGTTGATCTGTAGTAAGTTAATCATGTCGAATCACCGACCGATGCATATATTGATCCCTGCTGGTTACCCACCGGCTCAGCAGCCGATGGGGTGTTCAAATAAGCCCACCCTGGAATCTGGGAACAAACGGGAGAGGACGTCACAGGACTGGGAAGCACGATGACAACACAAAACAAATCTTTCGTCTCGCAACGTCAGACGACATTTACTTTATATTACTTTTTTACACTGGGTGAATGACAATTCCACTGTTAAAGCATGAACATTGATATTCACTACAATTGACTGAATCAAACTGAATGGCTATAAAACACCGCTACATACCTGGGAACAAACGGGAGAGGACGTCACGGGACGCTCTCTCCCTCTCCCCCGTGGTAATATACCCCCGAGTTGCCAGCGATCGCTACTCGTGCAACAACTCGACTGTTACTCATTCAAGTATGACCCTCAGTTGACAAAGGTCTGGCGAATTACTAAAGTTGATTTAGACAGACTAATCAAGATTGAGCTTGTCAGGAGAGATTGGAAAAAACGTATTAACAACTGCGTTCGAAGGCGGGACTTACCGGGAGGGATCGCGAGTCGAAGCGTCGACGGCGAAAAACACGTCTTCTCGGGGACGGCTAACCCACTCGTGTTTTGTGGTCGTAGAGTTTAATGAGAATCATTAGTGTTAAAACAGACTAACAGTCAATGTGACCATGACATAAATACAGTCGAGTCTGGATTTACGCGGGTTTGGTTTACGCGTTTGGTCGTTTACGCGGTGCCTTGCCAGAATGAAATTCTTTAATTACGCGGTAAATTTGGTCATTTACGCGGGAAGCGGCGCGGGCAGGGTGCGCACGAGGTCGTCCAGTCATCGAAGCATTACCGAGTTCTTCACCCACCACAGTCGGCCCAAGCCAGGGATAGTGATAGTGAGGATATGGACTTTGAGGGGTTTGACAAAGAGGCCCTGCAAGCCTCTGTGGTGGATAGTGATACAGGTGAGGGCCAATAATCTGCCGTCTGCCCAGCCATCTTTTCTACTAACGTAAGTGTTCAAAAACCTAATATTATTGATATTTCTTTTCTGTATTATGTGTGTGCATACCATCATAAAGTTAAGATACTAGTTTTACTACAATGTACGTATTGTGTCGCAAAAAGTGGAGTTTGGGGGTCGGCCCAGTCTCTATTTTAATTAATTCCCCATGTTCCATTATTTCATTTACGCGTTTCTCGCGGGCCTCCGCGGGTTCAATTGACCGCGTAAATGCAGACCCAACTGTACTCTATGTATACTCACCATCGTTGATATCGCTATAGAGATGTGTTTTGGGGGAGATAATCACTACTGGCCCTGTAGTTATGTGCCGAAAATAAAGATTTTTTTTTTTTTTTACTACAGGTTAGGGAAGGTTAGGTTAGGTTAGGTTGTATTTATTGGGCAAAACCCAAGAGGCAAAATTTCGATTTCTGGTTCTTTTGAAAACATCCACAATGCATTGTGGTCATTTTTGGTCTTTGAGCCCAACATATATCATAAAAATGAATGGTCCAAGTACTGAGCTTTAGGGTACTTAAGCACACACGTACGCTGTGGAAGCTTAACAATGACTGGGGAGAAAACACTCGGGGACGCTGTGATGCTCCGCAAGAGAGCGTAGCACACCGAGGTGAGAGAGGGTGGCGTTCCATGTAAAGTAGCCCGTGTTGGGTGACAACGTTATACTGAATTGGTCGGAATCGTGGGTATCTAAAGAGTAGGAACGTTATAACGAAACAGCATTGTGTGGGGCAACATTAAGCTAGGACTGGGTGTACTAAGTTCTTGCTTACATTCCTTTAATACTCTGGCAAATATCTCATCGGGAACTGCCGACTTCTTAGGTTTAACGTGTCTGTTTGTTTACTAACATAGTTACTAGTCACTCCTATCTTGCTTGATCTACTTTCTTCACTATTTCTGTATATAGTCGGTGCCTCGGGTATCATGTTTAAAGTTTCGATGACGAAAACTGTTGAAAAATATCTTCAGATTATTGCTCGGTTCCCTGTCGTTAGCCTGCCAGTATCTGACTGTATTGGTCCAATATTGTCACGTGTTTTAGTGTGATACATTTGGAAGAATCTCTTGGGTTTGACTTTGCCTCCCCTGATACCTTCAGTTCTTTGCTTTTCTTATCTCAGTCTTAACCCTACTGGCCAATTCCTTATAATGATCTCGGAGGCAAACTTCAGCCGTTCTTTGTCCAATAATATTCTTTAAATAATTATCTATCCGTGTTTTTTGTATAGTATGTTCTGCCTTTGTGTATTAAGTAACTCATTTAAATTGTTGTGGAACTTGTCAACCTCAGATCTCGTGATGTCACCAGGTAAAGTGAGGTCATATATTTCACTGGTTGAGTCCTATTTGTTAGAGAGATCTCAGTGTGTGATGATTGGTGGAACCATTGCAGATCCTGTCCCTTTGCAGTTTGGAGTCCCACAGACATCAGTTTTGGGACCACTTGTGTTTACAGTCTACACCAGTAGTCTTGCATCTATGCCGATGATAATGAAATCTTTAATGTCTGATACGTATTAAGATTTGGATGGCTTGGAGAAAACTTGGACTGAATAATCGCAGAACCGAGATTATCGTCATCCAGGGAAATATGAAGGGAGAAGACACAGATGATTGGGCTCCTTTATACAGTACTTTGGGGAAATGTAATTCAGTCCTGTTGATTCTGTGCATAATCTTGGAGAGTAATGTGAATCAAAAATTAATATTAAATAGCATATAAATTCAGTAGTTGCAATTTTCATATTCAAATTCTATAGTACAGCTCAGTATGTTGTTAATCACTTATTTGGATTGACAATGTATTGTGAGTACAGTATTATATTTTTCGAGTATTTTAGCCGATAAAAGTACCAATAATATTACGGTAGTTGCTCAAAGTGGAGAAGGGTTTGAAAGAGGGAAAATGTGGAGTAAAATACTAAAAAGAACAATAAACGAACCTTTGAAAACCTGACCTGACCTAACCTATAAAAATCCTAAAACTATAAAGCACGTACAGCACCTTATTGTTGTTGTTTAATGTGTTGAAGTTTTCCGTGTTCAGGTGGGGAGGGGATCTATGAACTTGAAAGTGATTTTTAACCTTTCTATAGATTAAGGAAGGTTAGGTCAGGTTTTCAAAGGTTTGTTTAGTGTTATTTTTAGTATCTTACCCCACATTCTCCATCTACTTCAAAGCCCTGTCCACTTGTTGGGAATTGGTGATGTCTTATACAGTACTGTACTGTAAGTGGGAAACACTGGAGCACCTTAGCTTTTGTGTTTATTCAAGACATTGTCAGGTCATGAGACCTAACTGTGGGTGACCTGACATTGCATCAGAAGGTCAGTATTTTGAGACCACTCATCGTCCACCCTACCTCCACCTGACATTGCATCATGTCTGTTCAGTAACAGGAGACCCCCACAGCTCAGTGTGACTGGGAAATACCCGTCGTCGTTGTAACACCGTATCAAAGATTTGTAGTTTTTTAATTATATTTATTTAACTAAGCTTTTAGATAAACAATTCGGGATTATTCTAGTAAAGAAATGGAATTTCTAACTTAAGAAGAACTGCTTATACGGACTCCGGTAGTTTAGACTCCCGGAAATCTTTCCCCAGCACCCAGAAACATTCTGTGTTGTTTAGTCTCTGGGAAACTTTTCCCGGTAACCGAAAAAAAGAAATCCGAGGACAAGGGATTTTTCTGTGTTTGAGAAAGTCGTTTGGACACCGGCAAATATCTCGTCCCCGGAAGTTGCTTCCATCAAAGAAAGTTTATTTATTTATTTAATTTTTGCATAATATGCAGAACCCCCGACTGAAATTAGATTAGGTTAAATAAGTTTCTTTGGTAAGGTTAGGTTGTGTTGGGTCCTGTTCATTTTTGTTTCCATTTTTTGTGTTCAATATCATGCAAATAGTATCTCCTCCAAAAATTTGGGTTCAATTCCATGAGTTTTTTTTTTGTTCTGGTGCTAACGGTCTCCTTCACCTTTACTCATTATAATGTTTTACAGTGTTGTGTGTTATTGGTTACATTTCCAGGAAGCTTGAAGGACCAGCAACACATCTCGGTATGACCAGTACAGACTCAACTGTACACACTGTCCAGTAGGGTGTGTCAACATGTTAAAAATCAAATTTGGTAGTCAAAATATTGTGCCTCTTTATGTCTAAACTTGAGATTAGCAAACAAAAATGAATTGAAATAACCCTCACCTACATCAATTATACCTTAAAGTTTCAAATATCAGTATTTCAACAAATTAATGAGACTTGATTAGAATTATTCACTTGATATTAACTAATCTCATGTAAGCATATGGATTATGGAGTATTTTATGGTTCTATAGCTTGTGTACAATATGCATGTCAGAACATGAACATGAACAGGCTCTCCGTGTGGGACAGTTTAATTCTTGTTTTGACTTGTACCAAGCGTGAGGATAAGGCGCCCGGCTCACTCTCCTTCTAGATATCATAGACGGTGGTTTGCTCTCATTGCACTTGCACCTACTCTACCAGACGAATTCTACATTTTAATTATTGTAAGTAGGGCATATTGATTGTCGCAGTTACTTATATCATTGTATAAAACATTATGTTCTAAGAAATTATTATGTTATTTCTGTTACAGCATTTTTGATAAACAAATTGATATTTTTTGAAACAACAATTGAATTATGAAACATTGAAATATTTTTCTATTTGTCAGATAGTGTGAAGATGTCAAAATTGAAGACAAGAAGTCAGTTGTCAACCCACTTGAGCCTGCTAGTTGGTAAAGGGAAGGAGCTTCCTGTATCAGAACTTCCAACAGTGAGAGACATGCTAAGATTAGGGTTACTCCTTCGAGAAAAAAATGCAAAGGACAGAAGGAACTATACAGATAAAGAACTCATAAATGACATGATAGTCCCTCTTCTGCATCAATGGACAAAAGCTAATGCACTATTCAAACCACCTGTGATTAATCAGTGTCGAACTATTGAGCTAAAACTAACGAAATTATGGCACAAAGCAGTTGAAACATCACTTGGTAAAGGAAACTTGGCCAGGAAAAATGAATTTCTGCACACACTTGATACTCTGTTTGACATTTTGACCTGCAAGTGCTCCATACAATTATGTTCTGAATCCAACTGTTCTCACTCAGGTAAGAGAGAAAATAATTCCCACATTGATTGTGGTTGTCCTCGTGAAAAGAAGATCCCTGTTTTAGAGCTTGAATTTATAAAGGCACAGAGGACAAAGGCAGAAGGCCAAGGAAGTATGCAAATGGGTTCAATAGATTATTCAGAAACAAAGAAGCAGATTGCTAATGCCAAGAAGAGAGAACAAATCCGAGAGAGGGAACAAAAGAAGAAAATGAAGAGTGAAGAAGCCATCCAAAGAGAGGAAGAGCTGTGTCAAGATGTTTATCACTTCTTTGATAGTTCTTCTGATGAACAGGAAGCAACATCAGATGATAGTTCCAAAGAGCCATCTGAACCTTTACCAAAGAAAATGAAATACAACACAAGAAATATTTCAAACATTGCTTTAGCTAGTATTCGCCACCATGCTGAACTTCGTGAGGCTGCAGAAATTGCAACTGCCGCGAGGATGTATCTTTGGTGATAGATCATAATAAAATTAGAAGAGCACAAGAAAAAATAATGAAGGAAATATCTGGTGAGCATGAAAAAGATTTAAGCGAGGGAGGGCTCTCCTGTCTTTTGCTTGATGGAAGAATAGATGACACAAAAGTTTTGCTAGAAGTAGAGGGAGTGAACAGAAAGTTTCCAGGTCTCATCAAAGAAGAACACTACTCTGTCTGTTCTGAGCCTGGTGGTCGGTTTTTGTTTCACTTTGCTCCCGAAACTGAAGTAGAAGGGAAGAAACATGCAGAGGTCATTGCTGATCATATTTTATGTTGGGTTCAGGAGAGAGGACTTGGCAGTTCACTGCAGGCTGTTGGTGGAGATTCAACTGCAGTGAACACCGGATGGCAGGGGGGTGTAATGACGCATTTAGAGAAAAAACTAGGAAGAAGACTTGTTTGGATTGTATGTGATTTACATACAGGCGAGCTACCTCTTCGTCATCTCATCCAGGAACTTGATGGTCCTACAAAGAGCAACAACAAGTGGTCAGGTCCCCTTGGCATCATGCTGGATGAAGCGACACAACTAGAAATAAATACAACCTTTCCAAAGGTCGAAGTTGGCCCTCCCCTTCCGGCGTTGTCTGAAGGAGTCATCAAAGATCTCAGCACAGATCAATCCTATGCTTATCGTATTGCCCAAGCAATAAGATCATTGGCTCTCTTGGAGATTGGACCTGTCAGTCACAGCTGTTGGTTAACTACAGCTCTTCGTTTCTGCAGGATTTGGATTTCCAAACACGAATTGAAGGGCAAAGTGCTGAAGAATTTGAGGTTAATTGTTGAATTTATTATTGGAGTTTAGTGTGAAACTTAATCCTATGTGGGTGGATCACCTTTTGTTTCAATTGCAGCTAGTAAGAACAGAGGAAGGTAGTGAGGGACATCGTGTTACCTGTGGCAAGAAGGTCCGCTTGGTATGCTCGATCAGAAGCAGTTTTGCAAGCAATGCTTTGCAGTCAATGTACCAATCTCCGAACCGAGGCTGTAGAAGTCATTCTAAAGATTAGAGGAACGCTAATAGATGACGACCAGTTGGGAGACTGTTCGTTTCATTCAAGAAAAGTTCCCCCAATAAACGTCAATGCCACCAAATTGTCAGAATTGGTTGACTTGAGTTTGGAAGTCTTAGAGCCACCATTGACAACTAGCCAAGAATTGAGAAACCTTAAAGAGACTCCAATGCAGGTGCCGAAGTGTGGAGAGATGTGTGAAAATGGTCACAGAAGCAGCGGGCCATGTTTACAGCCACTAGAGGCGAGAAGGTTACATCAAAGCACAAATAGCAAGCAGACTACTGATGACAAGAAACCAAAGCAAAGAGAGTATGAAGGCATTGGTTACTTTCAAATAGACTACGGATAATAAAATAGAATAATTTGAAACAGTAACATGTGTGCAAACGCTGGTTATGTTATAAATTCACAAATATGTACATTTAAAAATCCATTTGATGTAGGTAGGACTTATTATAAAAAAAAAATTATGCCAGAATATTGTTTTGCATGCTTAAAGACTACAATAAATTGCTACCAAATTACTCGATTTTCAATTTAGCCAGTTCACCCCCTAAATTGACACACCCTACCTGAGTGTCCAGACCCATATATTATGACGGCACCAATGACAACTGATGAAACACAGCTGACCTGTGGGAGGTGAGTAACTGTTATTTCACATGTGTATAAGCCTATTCTAATACAGTACAGTACTTGCTGTTAACGCTCATAGGAGCGTTATTGGTTTGACGCTGGAGAAATAAACCCTCGACGTTGAGAGGTACCACATAATTCGGTCAAAGAACAATTCTCATATAACAAATGCTGTTATCTCGGGATACATAGTATGAATAATACAACCTATGTACAGTACATAGCCTGTTAACATCTTAAATATAACTCGCGTTTTATAACTGTTGATACATCAGATCAAATTACAGTACATAGATATACTTATTAAAGTTATTTAGAGTTTCTTGGCAGATTCTAATACTTCACGATCGCTCACGTCTTAGGGTCTAGTGGTCCGAACCGACGTGTCGTCTGTCCCGTAGAAATCGGTGGACTACCCTCGAGGGCCATCCGTTTCGTATTGAAGCACCTCGGCTAATTCGTCGTCAACACTATATCCGTTCTCTTCTAGTTTATCTTACTGTGGCGGTAACACTTGTGTTTTTTTACACGTGTATTCCTTTGAGACTGTTTTTATCTAATGGCCACCCAATAGAGGTGGCTATGCCAAGGGATGGAGACCAGTGGGTTATGTAAGATCCCTGCATTGTTCTTGATAATTTTGTCAAGGTTTCTTTTGTAGTCCAGTACTGTTCTTGATTCCACAGCTTGTGCTGGCAGACTGTGTAAAGTAGTATTTCCTTATATTTGTTCAACATGAGAACTTGGCCAGCTTGTAGTGGATGTGAGACTTTATCAAGTGCCCTAGAGAAATGCACATACATCCATGGTCCAAAAGTTTGTTGAACCCCAAATAAAATGAAACCGCACACCCGCATCAAACGAGAGACAGTCGAGTCAGAAACTCGTTCCTTTTGACTGACCGTACAACACATCCACTGGTAGACCTTGGTCCATGTGGTCTGTTAAAAATTCAATGAAAATGACTTAAGTTTGTCAGCAGAATATTCTATCCATGAAATCATGTTGTGATGCATTGATTAAATTGTACTCAGTTGGATGATGAGGGTGTCTACTGGTCTGGAAATGGCAAACAATTTTAACGGAGGCTGGAAAAAGTGGGAAATTTTATGTGAATTGAGTGCAACTTCAAAATATTGTTATTTTGACAGTAATCAATGCTGTACTGTACTGTATAATAGGTAAATAATTTAATTTTTAGATGCAAATTCCAGTAAATAGACAACTCCAGTAAGTGAATTGTTTGTATACCTATAGTATCATATTTTATGTTAGTGATCAAATAACAAAATATTACACGTCACAGCTACTGATTCTGCAATGAGTATTGTCATAGATGAATTGTTGTTTGTTATTTAAGTGGATGAGAAGTGTGATTTTTCAGTTGTCACTGCTAATGACATGGTTACCCTTCTGTGCCACCACAGTTGGAACCCCCGATTACATCAACTTTCCCCCGTGCTATCTGGATTTTGGTCGGGGATACTTGTGTCCGGTGCTGGACCCCAGGCCGGTTTTCAAGAGGATCTAGATTAAGCGAGTCCGGGCTAGAGGGAGTTTACTGTACTATAATGAAAGCATCTTTATTCCTTCAGTATGAAATCAACCCTGAAGATGTCAAATATTTTCTGATTTAATAAGTGATATTTTCTCAACCATGTCGTACAACCTTCATCATGACTATGTGGTTATCATCGTACTCCGGGACAATACGATATTAACTTCTCTGTACCAGTATTTTGGGACAACACTTAAGTTCTTTAGGGAAATTGGGACTCAAACAGACTGTCAGGTTCAGGAGAGGTCAAAAGAATGGCTCTTAAGAGAAAAGTGAATACTAAATGTAGGAGGATGCACCTAGGTCACGTGTCCCAACCGGACGAAGAAACGTCATTAACGGAGACCAAAATACCGTACGAGAAGGACCCGGGAGTGTATGCGACACGTAGATGGTCTGTCCCTCGTAACGCTTTTCGAGTATTAGGTGCTTCCCGTCCGAAGTACCGTGACCCCGTTTGGTCCCTCCCCTCCACCTGTACTTCCCCACCTCCACCTGTACTTCCCCACCTCCACTCCCCCCACCTCCACCTCCACTCTCCCCCACCTCCACTCTCCCCCACCTCCACTCCCCCCACCTCCACTCCCCCCCACCTCCACTCCCCCACCTCCACTTCCCTACTTGCACTCCTCCCACCTCCACTCCCACACCTCCACTCCCTCACCTGCACTCCCCTACTTGCACTCTCCCACCTCCTCTCCCCCACCTCCACCGACGGAGGGCTGCAGTTCACAAGCCGGGACTTTGCTGCGTTCATCGAGCGACGGGGAGTCCGGCAGGTGTTGTCACCGTCCCATTACCCGCAGTCCAACGGCCACGCCGAGGCTGTTGTCAAATCCCTGAAGCACCTCATCCTCAAAGTGGCCACTTCTGGGAATATCCTCAACTGCGAGGCCTTCGACCGGGGTCTCTTCGAACTCCGCAACAACCCAGCTACACCGGATGCTCCCCTGCCCAGGTCTTGTATCCCTGCTCACGCTCAGTCCTTCTCCAAGGAGTGGCAGGTTAAGACAGAGGATTGCGGCCGCCGAACGAGTTCGTGACGTCGTCGCCCGCTAATACTACCACGCCCGTTCTCTCCCCAAGTTGAGTGTCGGCACCCAAGTCCGTGTTCAGGACCTTATCTCCCTACGTTAGGACAAAGTGGGCGTAGTCATGGGTCTCGGTAGATCACGGGACTACCAGGTGCTGTTACCCAGTGGTCGCGTGTGGTGGAGGTAACCGCCGTTTTCTCCGCCCCGTAACAACGCCTTCTGCTGACCCCGTCACCAGTGTTGAGTCCTGTGTCCTCCCCAGTGATCAAGTCCCTCGACGCTCAGAACGGATCCAAAAGAAAAGGTCCGCTCAAGACTTTGCTATGAGCGTATAGAGGGGGGGGGGTTATATGTGTATGTTGTATGTATATTATGTATTCCATTTATATATATACTACTTATTTAGCCTAGCCAGCAGCATGTGGCAATGCATTTGTTATGTCCCACACGCTTAGATAATGTGCCTGGCGACATATGGAAGCTGCTACATGTCGCCTGAGGGCTCGGTTGTTGATAGAGTAGGGAGTGCCGTCTTGTTGTATTGTAGTGGGCTACCTCCGCTATATAAGACCTAATCTCGTGGTGACCTACCTCTTTCTACCTACACCAACCAACACCACCTCCTCCGCTCCTGCCTGGCGGCCCTCGCTTCCGTCGGCGAGCATGGCGAGCCACAAGCTGGTCCTCCTCTGAGCACCCTCACCAACCAGATCTCTCTACATCACGCTTGTAACCAACCTGCCACTTCCCAGCACCAAGCTGCTCTGTACATCCAATACAATATGTATACAGAGAGCACATTGTGAGTTTCCTTTCTCCAACCAATATCTCATAACCCCACAAATGGTGACCCCGGAGATTCGCACTCACACAGGATGGAGGAGAAACCGATCACTCTCCCAGTCTTCAAGCAACATGGAAGACTGGCTTATCCACACAGAGGCAGCTCTCATCGGCTCTACAGGTACTGTCTCTACACCTCAGGTTAGACACCCTAGAGCAGCTCTGCTACTCTAAGCAGACACCAGCTCCTCTTCCTGCCCCAAGCACCACGTCCTATCGACCCCAGCAGGCGCATCTGAGGACTCTGTACCTGCCGAGAGGGAAGCACAGCATTCGTCGCCCCCACACACCGTTGTTTTTTTCCCTCCGGCACTCCCACCTGCTGTTGTAGACCCTGCTCCTATTATAGACCCTCCTCCTGACGTCGCCCCTGACCCAGTGATCATGAGGACGCTGCCCCTGCAGCGACAGAAGCACAACATTCATCGCCCCCACACACCCTTTTTCTCCCACAGATCTCGTGTGTCTAGACTCGAGACAGTTGTCTCCCCGAGCGGCCGGGTCTTTCACGCCCTCGCCGTTATGTCTCGCATGTGGCATGCACCGCCGTTTTGCCTCGCATGTGCCATGCAACCCTGCAGACAACAAGTCTCCTGGAGGGAAGGGGGGAGTATCGTAGTGGATTCCTCCCCTACAAACGCTGTTTGTCGCAGAGTAGCCGACCCCGCGAATTCCCCAGCGTATGCGTCGTGGTCTAGGTCAACCAGCGCCGCCTTAGACGACGGAGGTCAACTATTAAGCCACGCTTATCTCCGCTATATAAGACCTGACCTCGTGGTGACCTACCTACACCAACCAGCAAAATAGAATTCTACGAGTGTTTCTGTTCGCCCCTGTAGTTAGAACCGAATACCTAGAACATGTACAAATATATTATGCTTATTTTTAAAAAAATTTTCTTATTCCAGGTGTTTCGCATATTATCCGAGTCAACAGAAGGAGTTCGTCTTTACGATCAGCTCCTTCCGACCATCTCCGAGATGTCATCCGGAGAGTTGAAGTTTGCTCTTGCCATCCGGTCTCTTCTCCAGAGTATCGTCAGAGGTACAATGATTTATATTAAGAATATCTTCAATATAATTAGCCCTACCATTTCAAGTGGATGAATGTTTAATTAGTAAGAATCATGATACCACTTAAAAAGTTGTCAATTTGCTTTAAAAGGGTATTTGTGGGGGATAAATGTAAAGGTGTACATATAAATGAAAATATTGAGTGTTTTATTATGAGGTACAGCACAGTACAAGCTTTTAGGTATGATTTTGTCACCGCTAAATCTGCATTACACATTTTGTAATCTACTTTTATTTCCAAAATCTGGTTAAACTGTCTGGGTTTTTCTCACAGTAGGAGCAGAAATAGGCACTCCTTGATTAATCACGCCTCCATCACTGTGTCAAGCTCTGCTGACCTGGCTCTGTGCGGTGATTTACTCTCTAATGTGCTCATGTTTTTGTCGATGGAATGTGGCTGTGTACTATTTACACTTTGGAGGTCACATTGAAGCAACACTTAGCAATGATAGGGAATTACGCAGTGCAGTATATATTTTATTTCAATATTGTTGCTGCTAGTGAGTTGTACTAAACAAGTATCCACTATGTATTTCATAACATTGTACTTGTTTTGGCATTCTCAATTTTGTTTTATTGCAAACGCCCGCGCTGCCAGATGATGGCGTTTCAGCACACTAAGCTAAGATATCATCACCGGGGCATTTTCTCGTAGTCGGTCACTGAGTTACACCCTCCGACTCGCCGTCACCCGCACTTACGAACGGGATCCCAATACATTCACCTCAAAAAGTTGTAATTAAACTGTCATTATTTTCATCATTGTTTAACAGCACTTTATGTTATGTAACCTAAAGTATGGGTCCAGGAACTTATCCCTGTTGTAAGTTGCGGACGGCCTGTATTATTATTAACATTATATTTTGAGTTCCTTAGTTTAGTGTGTTTGTTATACCTGTACATGCAGTATTATATATTAGTTTATAGTTGTCATATATGTAGTATTTTATTTGGTGCTTAATGAAATATTAGGGTTTTTAATAATGACCTTGAGTTAGCCAACAAGTTCAGTTATCTGAAACATTTTGGATTTTTGAAGTGGAACCTATATTTCAACTCCCTCCTCAAAATATTAATGTACTATAGGAACAGAAATGGTTGATTTAAATTATTGCTCCAAACTGCACCACACCATAGTGCCATCTTTGGCATATACAGTAAATGAACTTTTGTAAACTGTACTGTACATATTTAATGTCACATGATGTGACAATGTTTGTTTTGTCAAGTGATGTATAGTGCATGTCATTAGTGTAACGGTCGGTGCCAAATCGTCGTTATTTGGCGCCATTCATTTTTAGATATACCTGTATCTCATTTATGAGACATTGTTTATGTAAGCCAAGAGTTGTTACGTCTTGCATATTTCATCTCCGTCGTCAGAAAATGTAACGGCGCGATGTTGAGCAATTTGTTGCCAGACTATGGATGATAGATAGGATCTGTACATATCATATTAAGTCTTCAACACAAGATATTTATTGTCAACTCTAAATTAAATATGTTGTGAATAAAACTTTTCAATTTGTGTTACCAAAGTGAGAATAAAAGATTGTCTCCGGCCAGCTTTTTTCTTTTATTATGTCCCGTAATATTCCCCCCGCCGAGAGCCTCCGTCGTTTGCTTTTAATGTATACGGAGACCGAAATCACAAATTTACGGTTTACGACGAGACGCGAACGTGCAACGTCACGAAAGAAATATTGGCCGAACATTTATGGTAAATAATTTATTTCTTCACCTACAAAGCACTTGGAGATGGTTTATTACTGCCACACGATCAGAGTTTCGTTGTTTTACCCCGTAATTTCCTTCATGTTTCGTGCCCTGCCCGCTATGGGTGATTTATGATCGTAGATAGAGAAAAAAAATCTTAAAATTAAAGAAAAAGTTGTATCATTTTTATTACGATCATGCAAACATTTGTGGATAAAATGAATGAAATAGAAAAACTGCTTCTGGTGTTAAACCACGGCTTTGAGACTGTCTCGGCGACCGACGCCGAGCCCACGTGTTTCCGAGGGGCCGTCTCCACCTTTCAGTCACTCACCTGTGGTGTCCCCGAAGATACTACTACTACTACTACTAATGTTTGGAAAGGCAGTTGTCAACATACCATCCGGAAAGGGTTGTCACTGACTTGTCAGATTCAGAAGAGAAAATGTCTTTAAATTGCAAAAACTCCTCTAGAACAGATGCTTCCAGGTCACTGGAATAGGTACTGACAGCCAATGGTGTCATACTCCGTTAAGGTAAACCGCTTCTTTATTTCTATTCATTCGTAATATGGTGTAGAAATTGTCCACCTTGGATCAAGTTGAGTTTCAGTGCCAACTGATTCATCCAAGAAATGTTTTCTCTTTTTTGTTGTCGTTGTAGACAGGCTCGGCCTGATCTTCTATTTCATCCAACTGACCCCGTCTCATTTGTGAGACGAAGATGATCAAGCTCTCATACAGTTTCACAACTGACAGAAGGTGGGTGTGAACTTTTTGAAGTGATAAGCTGGTTGCATTAAACCTTGTTAAGATTTGATACTATTTTACAGCAAGAAGTGGTGTTTCAAATGCTTCCATTCGTCTTATGAGGCCTTGACCTTGAAGCTACTGTCGGAACATATTTTGTTCTCCAGTGCTGACTTTATCTCAAGGTAATGTAAAAACACTGCAGCCAGTTTCTGAAAGGGATTTCGCTACAATCCCTTCAGCCGGTAGTGCAGCTGATGATCCCAACTATATGTGGAGGTTGAGAAGTAGTTGTATAAGGTTTGCAAAAATCCGGAATTTGAAAGAGACCCAAGGCAACTGATGTTCCTACAAGGTTCAAGGAGTGACCTGCACAAGGGACGTAATATGCCAGCCTTTATTCTGGCAGTGTAAATGGCTGACATAGTGGCAGCATTGTCATAACTCTGCCCTCAAGACGAACTTCTGTAATTAACTGTACAATAGTTGAGGCTATGCTCTGTGCACCATGGTCATGTATATGTCTATGAAGTTATAAAAATCGCTCAACTATGAATGTAAGTTGGTCAGTATGACTAACATCCGGTGTGGAATCTACACTAACTGACTAATATTTGTCTCGTTTCACTTCACTTATGATAATTGATTGACCATTTGGTCACAAATCGTTTTTGAGAGATATGAAGTGTTTGCACAGCACCAGATGCTGTGCAAGAAAAGTGTCCAATTTGGCCAGGAGTTGCAAGGTAATTGCCATTGTTGCTAGAGCCTATTCTTTCATCACTACCTCTCGATGTTAAAATTTGTAGTGTTTCAACTATGCGCAATAGACGTTCTTTGCATTATTTTCTCTCCAATTGTAGTTGCAAAGCCAAAGTGGAATGAATTCGCCTTGCTGTAATTGCCCTCACACCCCAACTGAAATTTGATGCTCTCTGCCACTTTCACGTTCGGCAACTGTACGCCGGCAGTTTTTCCAGTCGCTAAACGCATTGAACGCAAAATACATCTCCAGTTTTTGGAGAATACACAAGGATTTGGGCACATACCGAACTCTTTCCTTTTCACTTGTTGAGAAGTGACCTTGTTCACAATTTAGATCAAGAGAATGATTTAGTAAATAGTCAATCGGTTTATCATCAACTGTCAGCCGGATCACTCGACACCGGTTCCATAGAATGTTTCTTATAATTCAACTGAGATGAATCGGACGAAGCTTCAGTCACAGGTTGGAGAAAGGAAACTCTTAATGGTGGTTTTCTTCTATAAAATATATTATATACAAAACAGTCTGGTGGTGGGAAGTTGGTGCTTGGAAGAGGAGACGAGACGCGGCGTGTTCAGGAACGTAGGGTAGAATGAATTTCAACGGCGAGACCGAGAGGTCATACACTCGGCTACCGGAAGTAAACCCGGATGCCAGCGTCGCAGGTGGCGACCCCCCCCCACCCCCGTGAGAAAGTCGCCGAATCCCGTCTCATTGGAATGCGGCTAGGCTCGTCAGTTTGTAGGAGAGTATCCACTACGGTACTTGCATTGCTGTAGGTGGCGATTTACTTAATCTCAGCTGACCTCGTTTCGTCATCCGAATCACTAAAGTGAACCTCTACTGTGTCATCCTCTGGGAGTTTACTGTCACTGGGCTCTGAATCTCCTTTTGGTTGAAAAAAATGTCAGCTTTGGCTACTTTTAAGTTCCTCTTTCGTGAGCAGGGCCTCTCTACATATCAGGGCTGGTCGACTTGAAACCACACGAATGACTCCAGTCATGTCTCACTTTTGTGTGTGTTGGGAATTTGTACACTATCAATAAATATACAGTTAATGAAAAATGTCTCAATGTTTTAATTTCCTCAATATAACTGCATATGGCTTCCAAATTCTGCAAAGAAGTGTTCAAATTTCAAAATTTTCCCGGGGGGGCTTATAGCTCCCCCCGGAACTCCCAGATGTTTAGGCTCGTTTCACTCGCCACCCCACCCTCTTGGGTAGTTATAATGAGGGGGGGGGGGGCCTCCACAAAGAGGCTGGCTGCCCATGGGTAGTGTGTGTGCAGGTCAGAGTTGGCGGTACAGTGTGTGAGAAAAGTGTTTCAATACGGTTGGTAAATTCGATTTGACGTTCGGGCATCAAAATGATCTAATTTCAGTAGTACTTGGAAACATCTGGCTATCCCCAAGGACAAGCCACTCGTGTAGTTTTACTAACAACAAAGACAGTTGAAGCTTTCACCATCACTTAATGGATGTTCCAACTATAATCAGATATCTAAGTTGCCTTAACATATACCACCACTGTTGCAATTTCCAATTCTGTGTCGTTATATTAAAGGCCCGTCGTTGAGCGAAATCATGGTCAGCCTGCCTGGTGGTATATAAGTATTACAAATGTTATACGTACGTGTTCCCCGCTCAGTGTATAACCAAATGCAATGTACAATATTGGCGTGACAGGAGATTGTTTATGTAACGAGGACATTCGTGTGTGTTCTTCGTTCTCGTCCCATAGCTTCCTGTTTATGCATATCATAACTCAATCCATTTTTATGGATTACAAATCTCACCTGCAAGTAATCTTCCTCGAGTACTTCATAGCAGGTATTATGCGAGACAAACTTTGTTTCGATATCCTCGTGACGTGTAGGTGCATACCAGTTGAAAGATATACAAGCGTTGCCTCTAGACTAGCCTCTGCAGATATACTTTCCCTCATATTGGTATCCTGGTTTTTTTTATATATGGTTCCACTTTCGCTCGAAATTTGTAAAAGGTGTTAGAGTCCTTTGTCATGTCTCGCTCGTGTCCATCTTGCCGTTCACGTAAAATCGTGGCATGACTTCAATGCTTTTTTCCGACCTAACCACCATCCCCTTTTTCTGCATTTGCACATAGCAGCAATTATTATAGTACACAACGATATGATCTTTGCTTTTCACTGTCGGGCGATTATTCGTGCGATCGTAGCGTATCCGCCACTGCAGACCACTTACTAGCGCCCGACTATGACTGACGCCAATCACCCCCGTGTGTACAACACACAAGCTTTGCCCGGTAAAGGGTCAAAGGCCGCCGGGCAC